ATCACAAAGATCACAGGCCTGTGACTCAGATGGCCAGCTCACAGCGCCTTTTTCATACAGAGTTTGCTGAATTCACTTATGTTCACTTTATAGATACACACACACACTCAAATATATATTAATCTATTTTTAATCAATGGTATATTTACACAGAACTATAAGCATTTTTGCTCAAGAATGTTTTAGTACGCAGGTATTATTCTGTGACTTGGGACTTGCCCTGGGCTCTTTGTTTACAATTATTTTTCAGACCAACTGTTGAGTTTTGGCCTCCGGCTGGTATTCAATTTCAAGTTCCTCATTTCTGTCTTCCCAGTAGCTCTCATTGATTAGAAGTGGGCAGCTCTACCACCAGATTAACAAAACAACAATTATATAAATAGAATAGTTCTTGAAACGCCAGTAGAAATGCAGAAGTCATGCACCCTATCTCGGAGGTAGGCAGGATGGAGAGCTAACATTTTATATAAACTTGAATCCCTAGACTCAGATTGTAAAGCTAATTGTGTAGTACTTCAGTAGCTTGTATATGTCTGGATTCCAGACTCAAACAACAACAAACAACACTCCAGGATCTTCAATTTTCTCAGGCTGACAAAATTCTTGTCATGTCACATTGAAGTCAGGCTTCAAACCTTTGCTATGAAACATTTATGTGATTTCTTAGAAAATCAGGTTTAAAAAAGATTCCTTGACTGGATGCGGTGGATCTCGCCTGTACTGGTAGCTAGTTGGGAGTCTAAATCTGAGGATCATGGTTCAAAGCCAGATCAGTCAGGAAAGTCCATGAGACTCTTCTCTCCAATTAAGCACCAAAAAATGGAAGGGGAGCTGTGACTCTAAGTGGAAGAGCATTAGCCTTGTGCAAAAAAAGCTCAGAGACAGTGCCCACAACATGAGTTCAAACTCCACAACCAAACAGAGAGAGAAAAAGCGAGAGACAGAGACAGACAGAAAAAGAGCCCAGAGACAGAGAGAGACAGAAACAGACAGACATTGACAGAAATAGAGACAGAGACAGACAAACACAGAAAGAGACAGGAAGACTGAGAAATCACTGACAACTCCATTTAGAAAAATGTATATGGATATCTAAGATGTATATCCTATTCTTCCACAATTCGCTACATAGTACCACCTCATCCTGATCCACATTTGGCTACCTGGAATCGATTTGGTGTTTCATAAATTATTCCACATGCTCCCATAGAACATAAACAGACCCACACCTACTCACCAATTGTTTATAAGTCTGGGCTTTTTGCTTATATATGTAATATTCCCATTTGTATGTTTTTGTTTCCGTGGTTTAAAGCTACAATTGCCCACATTTCATGTCTAGATGTTTCATCTTTTGTGCCAGTAGTGGAATTTCAACTCAGGGCCTTGAGCTCTTGCGTATTTTTTGTTCAATGCTTAAAGATGTAACTTGAGCCATGCTATGAGTTCCTGACTTTAGCTGGCTCATTGGAGAAGTCTTTCAGAGTTGTCTACAGGGGCTGATTTGAACCTTGAGGAAGTATAGGGCATTCTTGAAGCTACAATTATTGAGATGGGCCAGGACACCTGGCATGTCTTTGTCCCTCTGGCTAAGTCTTCTGTCTTCTATTGATGATGGCTTTTACCTATTTCCTATGTATTTTGTCAAATACTTTTCCCCCAAAGTAAATTTTTGGTGGTATTTGGAGGTGAAATGTCCTTACATATTTGCACAGAGCAAAATGGGGGAGTGTACTGACTTGAATTCACTAATGGAAGAAAGTCCCCCGTACAGAACATTTAGTCTGGCATTTGTCTCAATAGACAGAACAACTTTGAAGGACATCTGGTTTGCTATGTCCTAGAGCTTTAGTAGTGGCCTGATCACCCCATGCAGGCATGGGCTGGGTTCCTTGGCCCTCACAGTGCACTGAACACTTCCCTCTATAGCCAGTAAGTGATCTTGGACAGATCCAGGTCACTCTGTCTTTTGCCCTTACTCAGGAACTATGTGTCTGGGACATCAGATTGTACACGTAAAAAAAGCCAGAGTATTCAACATCCATAAATTTTACAACATAAACATATATCTTTAATAAATTGAGAAGAATAAAAAGAATGCAAATTTTACAACAATCAGGACAAAAAGAAAAAGAGAGATATCCCCAGGGAGAGGGGAGGGAAGCTCTAAGGCTAGGTCGGCTTCTAAGTTGCCTTCAAACATAAATTCTGCCTCAGAATCCTCCAAAGTATCTAGCTCCTCATGAAAGATAGGATTTGCTCCAGCAAAGGCTGGAGAGGCAGATTCTAATTTCTCAGTTGGAGATTGGTTCTGCTGCAGCAGGACAGATTTGTCCAGATGTTCAGTGAGGACAGATTCACTTTCCTGAGCTTCATCTAATGTTGGGACCTCACTCATTGGTTCCCCTGAGCACTGACTGGGGACATTTTCCATCAGCCCCACGTGTGCTACTCCCTCCAGCACGCCAGGAGGCGTGCTGATTTGACCCTTTTTGAGCTGATCTGGGCTGCCTGTGAAAGTCACAGGAAGACAATCACTATTACCTTCTTCTTTCTTTGGGGTCCCTACAAGTTCAGCTCTGTCACATGTGGGCTTCAGAACCACTGTCTTATCCACAGGACTCACAACCTTTTGGGGCCTCACTGCAAATGCATTCAACCCCTCTACATGCACATGCATTGTGTAGTCCAGGGATGGCTCCAGATCCCCATCCATCACCATCCTTGACATCACCGAGGGCTTCTTCCTTGGGAGGTCAGGAGAAGCTGCTCTATGGCGGCCAAGGCCTGAGAAACAGAAATAGGTAAAGGAGTTTGAGAGTGGATTCTGGATGTTCAGGTGGAGTTCAATTTCCATGAGGCTCTAATGGAGGAAGCTGTACAAGTTTACTTTGGACTGAACACTGATGAGAAGGTAAGGTCTTTCCCAAGAGTGGCTAAGCGCAAGTGCTTTCACCAATAGAACCAACACTGCCTGGCAGAAAATATCATGAAAAGACATTCTTACAACCTGGGGGGTAATAAGGGCTCTCAGGCAATTAGGCTCATCCCTAGAGACCCAGGCGCCATCCCTACTCACAAGCTCTGAGGTGACCACACAGGGACTTCTTCCTCTCTCTCTTGGTCTCATTCTTCCCGCTCTCCTCCAGCTCATCCAGATGAACATGGAGATTGAGGACCAGATCTGAGGAGGGCATGTGGAGCATGGCATAGTGGGTAAGTTCTTTCACCGGGTGTCGGTTCTGAGGCTCTCGGAAATCAGCAGGATAGCAGTCCATCCACATGGTGAAGATGGAACAAAGGCTGCTGTGGGCAGATTGGTGACAAGAAGAGTGAGTGCCTGCCCTCCCTATCCTGGGCCTCCCATAGCCTCTTTCTGCAAGGCTGCTATATGCACACTTGCATGCTGGGAAGCAGGAGGAGACTCCTGCAGGCAGAATGATCTTCACCAGCCATGACTAGAAGCTTCTGAAAGATAATTCTACAATATTCTCACTGTGATAGGTCACAAGAAGGAACTGATTTTGTACACACAGCCCTCCCTGTCATCCCTGAGAGTCCACAACCACAACACAGCTGTGTCCTCTGCTACCACTCCAACCCCAACCCTCTGCCCCTAGTGGAAAGCACAAGTGATGTGCAAATGAGAAATCTGCTCTCTGAATCAGAAGCCTCAAAGATACCATTTTGAATGAAGGGGCCTTTTCTTTGTGCCACAGTCCACTTACTTCTTTATTTGTTCATCTTCCTCAGAGTTACGGCCCGGGAATCTGTACCTATGGGAGGACAGGAGGAAGTCACCTCTCAGCTTCTCCTTTTCTGCCCACACAGGACACATATGGGATGGGCTCATTCCCAGATGGGAATGGAATCTGACACATAAATAAGTAAGATACAGTTCAGTGAAAATTCTGCTAAGAGACTTATATGCATTGGTCCAAGGTAAATGTGACAGTGCTCATGCCTCTAATCCTAGCTAATCAGGAGCATGAGATCTCAGGTGCACAGTCTGATCAGACATTAGTCAGTAAAAGTCTAAGGACATTAATTTTTAAAAGGCCAGAATTGCACCTATGGTTCAAATGCTGTAGTGGTAGCTCTGAGCACCAAAGAAACAGCACCAAGACGCTGAGTTTAGGTTGAAGGACTGACACACACACAAAAACATAAAAGCTTCAGGGGTTATAAATATGTAAAGCCAACATAATCCCTCCCTGAAATCTCTGAGTTGATTCAGCCTCCAGTTCACCCACCTCCCCACACCCCAGCCTTTCCTGGGTCTACATTATTCACAGACATCCAATTTGTAATGAAACCTTATTTACTCATGGGAAATGTGATTTCCTAGAACCTCACCTAGGGGAGGGCAGAAGTCGTGTGCCATGGGCACATGCCTGTAATCCTAGCCCCTCAGTAAGCAAGCTTCTGAGGTTCCAGGAGCTTTTCTGGGAAATGTCCTGGGCAGACCACTACTAAGAAACTACGCAGGGTATGCACTTTCTTGTCTCATGCCAAGCTCCTGTGAGAAGACCCCCATGAAATCAACAGGTTCAGAGGGGTGCCAAGTATTCCACAACTCAGCCAGGAATAGCTGAACAGTCCCGGTTTTGAAGGGGGAACACTCACTTTTTGAACACAATATCCAGCACTTGCTCCATTGTTGCCCACTGTCTATAATTGTGGAGGAAGTTTCCAACATAGAAGAGATCGCCTTTCTGGTAGGCTGGGACCAGGTTCATCACCAACACGTCCAGCAGGCTTGCCTCCGAGCTCCATATATTGCATGGCACATTCAGGGTCAGGGCTGACGTATTAGCACACTAAGGCGAGACAAAGAATCAGAAAAAAACCATGGAAATGAGAACACTTCCAAATGAGTAATTGTGATAGAGTAGATTGACAACTATGCAGACAGTACTATCTCAGTAAACCTAAATCACATAAGAAGGTTCTACTGTGGACCAGGTTGGGGTTAAGTAGGTTTTCTATCATGAGTATACCTTGCCTGAGATGCCTTGTGATTTCCTAGGTTTCTTTTTGGACAAATCTCTGAGATGGTTGGTTCGTGGCTTGCCACTGATCCAGTGTCTACAGCTTTGACTGAGGCACCCATCCTTCTCTTGGCTGAGACCAGAGTCTCGAGACCTGCGAATACAGCACAAGAACATGTTTCTGGTTCCTGAGTCACAGGCCAATTGAGCTGGCTTGAGCCAACTGTGAGTTACCGTGGCCTGCTATCAGGGTTCCATGTTCTATTCCATTGTGAAGGAGGCAGGGTCACCTGTCAGGCCCAATGACCTCTGCTGCTTCCTCACGCAAGAAATATTCCCATCCACCCAATATTGCAATGTGTACATGTAGACAAGTTAACAGCACACCTTGTTTGTCCAATCCTAATCTGCTAGTCCTAGGTTCTGGCATGTTCTCTGCTTCCAGGAGTCACTCCTAGGTCACATTCATGCCCTATCTGTCACTATTCCTCTTATCTGGCTCAAATTATTTTGGCTCTCAGGGTCTTCTGTGACTGCCACATCCTTCTGGCACATATTTTGACATCAACATCCTAGGTCACTGTTTACTTTCTGTAGCCTAATCTGTTTGTCCTTGGAACCCCTCTCTGGTGTCATCTGGAGCCAATGCAAATGCTTAAAGATGGGAAATTGAAAGGAATATTGGAAAACATACATTACATATATAATTAGCCTTTATTACAGGTGACTATTTGTTTGGCCATTTCTGTGGCTTCACTTCAGCCTGGGCACTCCCCGAGCTCTTTTGCTCAAGGCTAGCACTCTACCACTGAGCCACCTTGCCAGCCACAGGTGTCCATTTTTGTAAGTGAGAAAATTATTTTTTATACTTGAAATATTTCATACAGGCAAGCAGAGAAAGGAAGAGCTGCTGCATTGTCTTTTTATGATGACGAGGATTTGTTTTACTATAGCTTTGAAGGAATGTAGTATTTAAGGTAGAAAACTGCTCCTTTACGTCTTACAAGCTAATCATTTATATAGTCATTTGCCTCTGAAGTCTTTGCTTCTGTGTCCCATGATCTATCCTCCTCCCTCAACACAAACGGGAAGAAGAATTTCACACATTGCTGAGCTGTTGTCCAGTCTCTGCATAGGAACTGAAAATACAATATTTACTGTGGAGTGTGTGTGTGTGTGCGTGTGTGCATTTCTGATCTTGGACCCTTTGCGCTATCCCTGAGCAATGTTCCTCAAAACTAGTGCTTTACCACGAGACACAGGTCCACTTTGAGCTTTTTGTAGTCAGCTGGAGATGAGAGATTCATGGAACTTTCCTACCCAGCATGGACATTGCTCCTCTTCAGCCTCATCTTTCCTCAACTGGGGCAATGGCTGTTCAGTTTCTGGATTTCCCATCCAAGCACAGACACAAGCCATCCTCCACTGCACATGTCTCTTTGTGTCCCTTGAGGGGCTCAAGTCTTCTCTCGAAACTTAGTGCCCTGAGGATAGAACCTCTGAAACTCAGAACCAAGTTTCCTGATTAATTGGGACCACAGGCCTGAGCTATATATGAACAGCTCATTACCTGCCATCGCACATTTTTGGGGGGATAGGGGATTGTTTGTTGGGCTTGAACTCTGGGCCTGGACCCTGTCCCTCAGCTTTTCAGCTCAAAGCTAGGGCTTTACCACCTTGAGGCACAGTACCACTTCTGGTTTTCTGGTTGCTTATTGGGAGATCAGAGTCTCATGGATGTTCCTGCCTGGCTGACTTTCCGCTGTGATCCTCAGATCTCAGCCTCTCCAGTAGCTAGGATTATAGGCATGGGCCACCAGCGTCCAGCACATGACCCCTTTTTGCAACAGCATTTGGCGAATTTAACTATGTTGACTTGAGACAGATATACCTACACAATATATGGGAATCAATGGTATATCACTGATTTCCCAAATAATGTCTTTTACATTATTGTTTTGTGAAACAACATATTCGAGATCCATAATATCATCTGCTAGTCCTCCTATAAAATACAAATATATGTATTATCATGTAGTATATTATATGATATATTTATATATATTATATTATATATAATATGTAAGTGATGTATATAGTGAACATAGAAAATAATCCCAATTTTGGAATTTAGCCTTTCCTGTCACAATGTTACCCAAGTCTTCTGTTAGATTCAAGTGGGACCAGCTTTCAAAGACACCTGTTCTGATATAACACAGAGCTTTTGTGTCTCAGCATCAAGGGTCCTATCTCGGCACAGGCTGCATCCTCCACTGCCTGCATTCCTTGTGGCTCCCTCTAGTCACCAGTTCCTTGTAAATCCAGCAGATTTGTTCCCCAGATCCAGCACACTCTGCTTCCTCCCAATCAGGACCCATGTGCCCAGGATATCAGATTGGAGGTAGAAAAGACCAGAGTATTTTGTATTCAAGAATTTTACAACATCATGTAAACGTGGACATTTTAATACTGTTAAAACAATAAATAGTAAAACGGGCAAATGTGCAGAGAGGAGGGAGGCAAGGTCTAACACACACACACACAAAAAGATTCCCTGACTGGACACTGTGGATCATGCCTGTACTGCTAGCTAGTCAGGAGTCTAAATGGGAGGATCATGGCTCATAGCCATATCTGGCAAGAAAGTCCTCTTCTGTCCAATCAACCAACAGAAAACTGGAAGGGGAGCTGTGACTCTAAGTTGAAGAGCATTAGCCTTGTGCAAAAAAAGTTCAGAGACAGGTCCCACAACATGAGTTCAAGCTCCACAACAAAACAGAAGAGAGGAAGAGACAGAGAGAGAAAGAGAGAGAGGGAGAGAGAGAGGGAGAGACAGAGAGAGAGAGAGACAGAGAGACAGAGACAGAGGCTGAGGCAGAGGCAGAGACAGAGACAGACAGAGACAGAGACAGACAGAAACAGAGACAGAAAGATAAACACAAGAAAACAGACAGGAAGACTGAGAAATCCCTTACCACTCCAATTAGAAAGTGAATATGCATATCAAAGATGTATTTCCTATTCTTCCACAATTCACTACATAGTACCACATCATCCTGATCCACATTTGGCTAACTAGAATCTATTTGGAGTTTCATAAATCATTCTACACGCTCCCATAGAACATGAACAGGCCCACACCTACTCACCAATGGTTTGTAAGTCTGGCCTTTTTGCTTAAATATGTAATTTTCCCATTCGTATGTTTTTCTGTTTCCATGGTTTAAAGCTACCATTGCCCACATTTCATGTCTAGATGTCTTCATCTTTTGTGCCAGTAGTAGAATTTGAACTCAGGACATTGAGCTCTTGCTTACTTTTTGTTCCATTCTGAAACATGTAACTTCAGCCATGCTAGGACTTCTTGACTTTTGCTGGCTCATTGGATAAGTCTTTCAGATTTGTCTACAGGGGCTGATTTGAAGCTCCATCCTGAGGAAGTATAGAGCACTCTTGAAACTAGAATTATTGAGATGGGCCAGGACACCTGGCATGTCTTTGTCCCTCTGACTAAGTTTTCTTTCTTCTATTGATGATGGCTTTTACCTATTTCCCATGTATTTTGTCAAATACTTTTCCCTCAAAGTAGCTTTTTGATGTTATTTTGAGGTGAAATGTTCTTACATATTTGCACAGAGCAAAATAGGGGTGCGTACTGACTTGACTTCACTAATGGAAGAAAGTCCCCCATTTAGTACATTTAGTCTGACAGAACAACTTTCAAGGACATCTGGTTTGCTATGTCCTAGAGCTTTAGTAGCGGCCTGATCACCCCATGCAGGCATGGGCTGGGTTCCTTGCCCCTCACAGTGCACTGAACACTTCCCTCTATAGCCAGTTAGTGCTCTTGAACAGCTCCAGGTCACTCTGTCTTTTGCCTTTACTCAGGACACATGTGTCTGGGATATCAGAATGTACATTAAAAAACCCACAGTATTTAGGATCTATAAATTGTACAACATAAACATACATCTTAATGAATTTAGAAGAATAAAAAGAATGAACATTTTACAACAATCAGGACAAAAAGAAAAGAGAGATATCCCCAGGGAGAGGGGAGGGAAGCTCTAAGTCTAGGCCAGCTTCTAAGTTGCCTTCAGACATAAATTCTACCTCAGAATCCTACAAGGGATCTACCTCCTCATGAAAGATAGGATTTGCTCCTGGAGTTGAGAGAGAGGCAGATTCTAATTTCTCAGATGGAGATTGGCTCTCCTGCAGCAGGACAGATTTGTCCTGATGTTCTGTGAGGACAGATTTACTTTCCTGAGCTGCATCTAACGTTTGGACCTCACTCATTGGTTCCCCTGAACACAGACTGGGGACCTTTTCCATCATCCCCACGTGTGCTACTCCCTCCAGCACACCAGGAGGAGTGCTGATTTGACCCTTTTTGAGCTGATCTGGGCCGCCTGTGAAAGTCACAGGAAGACAATCACTATTACCTTCTTCTTTCTTTGGGGTCCCTACAGGTGCAGCTCTGTCACATATGGGGTTCAGAACCAGTGGCATATCCACAGGACTCACAACCCGTTGGGGCCTCACTGCAAATGCATCCAACCCCTCTACATGCACATACTTTGTGGAGTCCAGTGAGGGCTCCAGATCTCCATCCATCACCATACCTGACATCACCGAGGGCTTCTTTCTTGGCAGGTCAGGAGAAACTGCTCTATGGTGGCCAAAGCCTGAGAAAGAGAAATATGTAAAGGAGTTTGACAGTGGTCTCTGGATGTTCAGGTGAAGTTCAATTTCCATGAGGCTCTAATGGAGGAAGCTGTACAAGTTTACTTTGGACTGAACACTGATGAGAAGGCAAGGTATTTCCAAAGAGTGGCTAAGCTCAAATCCTTTCACCAATAGAACAAACTGCCTGGCCCAGAGTATCATACAAAGACATTCTTACAACCTGGGGGGTAATAAGGGCTCTCAGGCAATTAGGATCATCCCTAGAGGCCCAGGCGCCATCCCTACTCACATGCTCTGAGGTGACCACACAGAGACTTCTTCCTCTGTTTCTTGGTCTCATTCTTCCCGGTCTCCTCCAGCTCATTCAGGAGAATGTGGAGGTGGAGGAGCAGGTATGAGGAGGGCATGCAGAGCATGGCATAGTGGGTCAGTTCTTTCACCGGGTGTCGGTTCTGGGGCTCTCGGAAATCAGCAGGATAGCAGTCCATCCACATGGTGAAGATGGAACAAAGGCTGCTGTGGGCAGATTGGTGACAAGAAGAGTGAGTGCCTGCCCTCCCTATCCTGGGCCTCCCATAGCCCCTTTCTGCAAGCACTGCTATATGCACTCTTGCATGTTGGGAAGCAGGAGGAGACTCCTGCAGGCAGGCTGATCTTCACCAGCCAGGTCTAGAAGCTTCTGAAAGATAATTCTCCAATATTCTCACTGTGATAGGTCACAAGAAGGAACTGATTTTGTACACACAGCCCTCCCTGTCATCCCTGAGAGTCCACAACCACACCACAGCTGTGTCCTCTGCCACCACGCCAATCCCAAGCCTCTGCCCCTAATGGAAAGCACAAGTGGTGTGCAAATGAGAAATCTGCAATTGAATCAGAAGCCTCAAAGATACCATTTTGAACGAAGGGGCCTTTTCTTTGTGCCACAGTCCACTTACTTCTTTACTTGTTCATCTTCCTCGGAGTTAGCGCCCGGGAATCTGTACCTATGGGAGGACAGGAGGAAGTCACCTCTCAGCTTCTCCTTTTCTGCCCACACAGGACAAATATGGGATGGGCTCATTCCCAGATGGGAATGGAATCTGACACATAAACAAGTGAGATATGTCTATACAGTTCAGTGAAAATTCTTCTATGAGAGGTATATGTATTTGGTCCAAGGAAAATGTGCCAGTGGCTAATTCCTCAAATTCTGGCTCATCAGGAGCATGAGATCTCAGGTGCACAGTCTGATCAGACATTAGTCAGTAAAAGTCTAAAGACACTAATTTTTAAAAGACCAGAATAGCACCTATGGTTCAAATGCTGTAGTGGTACCTCTGAGCACGAAAGAAACAGTAATCAGGCCCTGAGTTCAGGTTGCAGGACTGGCACACACACAAAATCAAAAAAGCTTCAGGGGTTATAAATATGTAAAGCCAACATAATCCCTCCCTGAGGTCTGTGATTCAGGCTCCAGTTCACCTGCCTCCCCCATACCCCAGCCTTTCCTGGGTCTACATTATTCACAGATATCCAATGCCCAATGAAACCTTATTTACTCATGGGAAATGTGATTTCCTAGAACCTCACCTAGGTGAGGGCAGAAGTTGGGTGCCAGTGGCACATGCCTGTAATAACAGCCCCTCAGTCCTCAGTAAGCAAGCTTCTGAGGTTCCAGTAGCTTTTCTGGGAAATGTCCTGGGCAGACCACTACTAAGAAAGTTGGCAGGGGGTGCACTTCTTTGTCTCATGCCAAGCTCCTGTGAGAAGACCCCCATGAAATCAACAGGTTCAGAGGGGTGTCAAGTATTCCACAACTCAGCAAGGAGGGGCTGAACAGACGAAGATGCGAAGGAAGGGGGAACACTCACTTTTTGAACACAATAGCCAGCACTTGCTCCATTGTCCCCCACTGTCTATAATTGTGGAGGAAGTTTCCAACATAGAAGAGATCGCCTTTCTGGTAGGCAGGGACCAGGTTCATCACCAGCATGTCCAGCAGGCCTGCCTCCGGGCTCCATATATTGCATGGCACATTCAGGGTCAGGCCTGACTCATTGGCACACTAAGGTAGGAAAAAGAATCAGAAAAAATGATGGAAATGAGAACACTTCCAAATGAGTAATTGTGATAGAGTGGATTGAAATCTATGCAGAAAGCATTATCTCAGTATAAACAAATCACCTAAAAAGGTTCTCCTGTGGACTGCATGAAACCCTGGGTTTGATTCCTCAGTATCCCATAAACAAAAAAAGTGTGAAGTGGTGCTGTGGCTCAAGGTTTAGAGGACTACCCTTGAGCAAATGAGGCTCAGGGACAATGCCCAGGCCCTGAGTTCAAGCCCCCAGGACCAGCAAAAAAGAAAAAAAAAATCCAGGGCTGATGACAATAGCACCTCCCTGTGAGAATACAAGATTCTTTCCAACCCTCCTAGATGGGGAGAAAGTAAGTCACAAGTGAAAAGAGGGCAGAGAAAAGAGGAAGGCCAGGAGGGAATTTTTAATGCATTACCTGTGTTATTGACTTTTGGGATAGGATCGATTTCTTCATCTACAATGAATGGCTCTGGCCTGGGGAACACCTGGACGTCAGCGGTCAGGTGGCCACACTTGAGCACAGCATGGAAAGGCGTATATGCCAGGTCTATCAGCTTTCTAGAAGATGATCATGACTGGTTAAGGGAGGAAGAGTTCACATGTGGTACACATAAAAGGACTGTACACATGAAAGTAACATTTCAAGATGTAAAGTTGGTTAAACCTTCGCACTGATTCCCAAACTAAATCTACTTGTGAAATGGAAAACATTTTGATGTTTTGAAAGAGGAAATTTCAATTGAGAGAGAAACCCCAGAGCAAGTTAAACTTGGGAACAGCTGAGTCTTTTTAAAGCATGACCACCTTATTTTACCTGAGAAACGGGCAACTGTGGAAAAAAAAAAAACTGTTAGAAATAATACAGTAACTGAGAGGTCGCCGAAATAGCTCAGTTGGGAGAACGTTAGACTGAAGAAATAATACAGTAACTGTTCTTCTTGGTTGTCAAATTATAATATGAGATTGTAAAGAAGCCCCCACCCCTCAAAAAACAACTTTAAGGCATATACTCACCCAAACATAGACTGCACGTTTTTCAAGCACAGGGGGCCATCAATAGTAAAAATTTGCCCTTCACCGTTGTTGAGGTCTATGAGACGTTCAAGGCATTCCAGGGAATCGGTGCTCTGAAGCTACAAAGCAAGAGAGGACACCTTTAAAGTAGAACAAATCACCACATCACTACCAGCACACCATGGCCACAGCCACTGTAACAAAATGGGCAATAAACAGTTTGTTTGGTTTGTTCTTTTGGTTCTGGTACTGGGGCTTAAACTCAAGGCCTTACACTTTTTATTTTTTGTCTGTTGCAGGGGTTGAACTCAGGGCTTGAATGCTGTCCCTGAGCCTCTATGTATTCAAAGCTAGTGCTCTACCACTTCAGCCTAGAGCTACTTCCAGTTTTTTTGAGTGGTTATTTGGAGATAAGAGTCTCAAGACTCAAGTCTCAAGTGGAGCCACAGCTCCACTTCCAGTTTTTGGGGTAGTTTTGGTAGATAAGAGTCTCACGGACTTTCCTGCCCAGGCTGGCTTTGAACCATGATCTTCAGATCTCAGCCTCCTGAGTAGCTAGGATTACGGGTGTTGAGTCCGTGAGATGATTTTCTTAACAGTCAATATCAGAAGGAAGTAACTACAGGGGCTGGGAAGGTGGCTCAGTGGTAGAGCGCTTGCCTTGCATGCATGAGGCCCTGGGTTCAATTCCTCAGCACCACATAAGCAAAAAGAAAAAAGCCAGAAGTGGTGCTGTGGCTCAAGTGGTAGAGCGCTAGCCTTGAGCTGAAGAGCTGAGGGTCAGCATCCAGGCCCAGAGTTTAGGCCCCACGACCGGACCCCCCCCGCCAAAAAAAAAAATACAAATAAAGAAGGAAGTAACACAACAATTGTTCTGTGTGTGTGCCAGTTCCTGGGCTCAATTCCAGAGCCTAGGTGCTGTCCTTGAGCTTTTTGCTCAAGGCTAGCACTCTACCACTTGAGCCACAACTCCACTTCCAGATTTTTTTGTAATTTAGTGGAGATACTGAGTCTCATGGACTTTCTTACCTCAACTATTGCAATCTGCCTCAAGGTTACAAGAGGTACTTCATTCATAAGTAGTTCTGCAGATTCTCAGGAGACCACAGTTAGTAGCCATACAGCATCTTCCCTACAACCTCTTTCTGACATGGTTTGGCAAGAGCCATCAATTATCAGCATTTTAGAGAGAGAAAAACTGAGGTAAAGTGAAATAATTCCTGACTCAATGGGAAAAGCAGGAAGTATTTAATAAAACACATCAGAAGCCAGGTGCTGGTGGCTCATGCCTGTAATCCTAGCTACTCAGGAGGTTGAGAGCTGAGGATGGCAGTTTGAAGCCAAGCCTGAGTAGTAAAATCTGTGATCTTCAGCTCCACTAAACTACCAAAAAAGCCAGAAGTGGAGCTGTGGCTCAAAATGGTAGAGTGCTAGTCTTGAGCAAAAAGCTCAGGGACAGCATCCAGGCTTTGATTTTAAGCCCCAATCCCAGCACCACAACAAAGAAACAAAAAGACCTATGTTCCCCCTTCCAAAAAAAGCCCACCCACGCAAAACAAAAAAAAACTAAAGTATACCTCTGTCAACATTTCTGGAGGAATGGACAGAAAAAAAAGAACATCTCAAGCCTTCATGGTCATCAGCAGAATGGGCATCTCCAGCTATACTCTCGGAGAGGTGAGTGTTGTTTTGTCAAAGAGCATGTGAAATCAAGTCTTTTCAAATCTAAATGTTATACGGTACGCAAGAGTGTTCATTCAATACACTGACAAATAAACCGAGCCCTGGGATTCACCTAACCCACCTAAAAAGCAGTTAGCAGAAGGTATTACCTCTTCCAGGTTTGCCATGCACATGATGTATAACTTAGACGTGAAAGGGAAAGGCAGCGGGAACCTGTTGCTGTCGCTCCTTTGATTGTGTGTCGCTAGGGAATGTCGCAGGGACCCTCTACCAATGCCGAGACAGCCGTCCGTCACCAGAACGACCTGTGTGCAGAGGACAAGTATCCATTAAGCCACATGCCCAACAGCTCCACCCAGGTTTGCTTTCACTGCTACAGGAATGTGCAGGGAGCTTTGTGGGGTGATGGGTATGTTCTAGGTCTTAATTGGAGTAAGGATATACATACATGCTTCCATTTGTGAAAATCTAGCAAACTGTGTGATTTATTTGTTTGTTTATGTGCTGGTCTTGGGGCTGGAACTCAGGGCCTGGGCTCTATTTGTGAACTATTTTGCTCAAGACTGGTGTTCTTCCACTAGAGCCACACCTCTACTTTTGCCTTTTTACTGGTTAGCTGGAGATAAAAGTCTCACAGACTTTCCTGCCCAGGCTAGCATCAAACCATGATCTTCAGATCTCTGCCTCTTGAGTAGGTAGGATTACAAGCATGAGCCCCTGATGCCTGGCTTATTGTTTTTAATTGTCTTTTTTTTCTCTTGGCAGTCATGGTACTTGAACTCAGGGCCTGGGTGCTATCCCTGAGCTCTTTTTGCTCAAGGCTCACACTCTACCACTTTGAGTCACAATTGCACTTCTGGTTTTCTGATGGTTAATTAGAGATAAGAGCCTCATAGACTTTCTTGCTGGGCTGACTTTGAACCTGGATCCTCAGATCTCATCCTTCTAAGTAACTTGGTTATACATGGGAGCCACTGGCCCCCAGCTAAAATTATCTTTAACTAGTTATACCACAGGGACTTAATTCAACGTCAACTGATATGTAGAATACACTTTGATCAGTGTCAACCTTTCTATCATTTTTCCATGTACTCCAAACTTACCCATCTGAAGTTTTCTAGTCCCAGTTTCAATATGTACATTGAATATTATGACTGTTTTTGTCCACCGTTCTTTCTCTCTCTCTCTGCTCTCCTTAACATCCATCCTCATAGACAAGACCAAACCATGTATTTTGAATTTGTGCATTTAAAACAAAAATGCAGGTACTAGAGCTTGAACTCAGGGCCTGGGTACTGTCCCTTAGCTTTTTCTGCTCAAGGCTAGCACTCTCCCATTTGGCCCACAATTCTACTACCAACTTTTTAGTGTTTAACTGGAGATGAGAGTTTCCTCTTTCCTGCCTGGGTTGGCTTTGAATGGAGATCCTCAAATCCTAGTCTTCTGAGTAGCTAGGATTACAGGCATGAGCCACTGGTGTCCCACAAGAGCAAGTCTTTATGATTCTCTTCACTTTTTAGACAACTCAGTTGAGATGGTTAGAAATTTGCTGAATAACTGCTACATTGAGATAATGAAGAACAGACACTATTGTTCCGTGTTTACAATTCTACCACACAAAATTATAATCTGTCCTTCAGTGAACAGTTATAAATTCTACTGTGAGCCCTTTGTCTTTATATAAACAATATAAATTTTCAGTACATCAATTTACCAGGAAAATACTTTCCTTGAGGCATAGGTCTGCTTTCTGAACACATTAGTATGACTTAAATTCATGTGATAGGATTACAGTGATTTAATGCCTTCTTTAAAAACTGTACAAATAGTGTAAAATGTAGTTTGTGGAGTTATAACGTAGGCGGTTAGAGCCTGAGGAAAATCAACACTACAGTGGTTAATGATTTGTATGATTTGCACATGTGCTCATGCATGTGTACATGCACTCCTAGTAGCTTAACCTCAGGGTCTGGGTGTTGTCCCTGAGTCTCTCTGTGCTCAAGGCTAGCACTCTACCACTTGAGCCACAGCACCACTTCTGGCTTTTTCTGTTGATGTGGTATTGAGGAATCGTCCCCAGGGCTTCATGCATGCTAGGCAAGCACTCTACCACTAAACCACATTCCCAGCCCTTTTTTAGCTTTTTCATTCAAGGCTAGTGCTCCATCACTTGAGCCACAGCTCCACATCTGGCTTTTTGCTAGTTAACTGGAGACAAGTGTCTCACGGACTTTCTAGCCTTAGCTGGCTTCAAACTGAGATCCTCAGATCTCAGCCTCTTGAATACCTAAGATGTACAGGCCAGTTTGGGGGGTCTATATTTTCTCTTCCTTTTTTCTTTCTTTCTGGTGCCAGCCCTGGAGCTTGAACTCAGACCCTGTGCATTGTCCCTGAGCTTTTTTTGCTCAAGGCTAGCACTCTACCACTAGAATCATAACTCTACTTTTTTTTTTTTCTTTTTTGTTTAATTGGAGATAAGAGTCTTATATACTTTCCTGCCTGGGCTGGCTTTTACCAGCAATCCTTGGATTTCAGCCACCTTAGTAGCTAGGGTTACAGGTGTGAGCCACTAGTGCCTGGCTCGTTAATGATATTAACTAAGGACATTGAAAAAAACTAAGCATTACCTGGCAAGGGATCCCACCGCCCCATTCTTGCTGAACAATATTACAGACACCAACCAGTGCGGACTCTAGGCATGTCTTGTCGTAATCGTCCATGTTACTCAGTGCTTCCTTATTGGGTGAGAAAAAAATTGCTCATTATTCGCTGCTGTTTTGTTATTAGAAACCAATATAAACTGTATGAAGTCTGAATATCATACAGCAAACACTGAGTTTCTGTAAGCCCCAAAGCATAGATTCCAGAAAATACACACACACACACAATCACACACACACACACACACACACACACACACACACACACACACACACAAACACAGCAAAACAGACTTCCTCAACTGTAAAGGACAATGAAATAAGCTTAACAATGAAATAAGCTTAAAGTAATGACCAAAATGTATGGACTATTAACCATAATCTCCTAAACACCATTCTGTGCACTTTACACGGATTTAATCATCCTACCATTGTTCACCCTACTTTTAAATGAGGAATTTTTTTGGGGGGGGTCCGGTCATAGGGCCTGAACTCTGGGCCTGGGTGCTGTCCCTCAGCTCTTCAGCTCAAGGCTAACGCTCTACCACTTGAGCCACAGTGCCACTTCCAGCTTTTTTCCTTTTGCTTATGTGGTGCTGAGGAATCGAACCCAGGGCCTCTGGCATGCAAGGCATGCGCTCTACCACTGAGCCACCTTCCTAGCCCTAAATGAGGAAATTTTTAAGAAGTGGCCTGACTCCAGAGCTTCTGCTTTTACCTCTTACACCTCATTCATTACATTGCAATTCTCTAAATTTTAGAACTGCTAAACACCAAAAAAATCTTTAGCTAAATAACTTATAAGAAAACCAGCACAAGCAGAGTGGGGTGGCTTACGCCCATAATCCTAGCTATTTGAGAGGCAGAGATTGGGAAATTGCTGTTAAGAGGCTGGCCTAGGAAGAAAATTCACAAGACTCTATTTCAACCAAAGACTAGGTGTGGTAGCACACACCTGTTATCCCCACTGACATGGGGAAGCACAAGTGGAAGGATCAAAGCCCAAACCATCCGGGGCATAAACTGAGACTATCATCTGAAAATACCCAGTACAAAAAAGGGTTGGAAGTATGGCTCATCTGGTAGAGCATCCACCTACCAAGCATGAGGTCCTGAATTCAAGACTCAGTACCACCAAAAGAGTCCACCAGTACGATTAAAAAAAAATTTAAGTCTCATAAAGATGCAAGATAATAAAAGGAAAGCTTTAATAATAATTAGTAAGAATTCAGCCGGGGGCAGTGGCTCATGCCTGCAATCCTAGCTACTCAGGAGGCTGAGATCTGAGGATTGTGGTTCAAAGCCAGCAGGAGCAGGAAAGTCCATTAAACTCTTATCTCCAATAAACCACCAGAAAACCAGAAGTGGGGCCGTAGCTCAAGTGGTAGAGCACTAGCCTTGAGCTGAAGAACTGAGGGACAGTGCTCAGGCCCAGAGTTCAAGGCCCACGACTGACAACAACAAAAAAAATTACTAAGAATGCAAACTGCATTAATCCTGCATTTCCAAATTGCCCAACAATTATTTAATTGCTCAGTTTAATTTCAGAAACACTTATTGTCTACTCACTGGCCAAGACACTGTGCTAAGAACTATAGGAGATATTAATGGTTTAAAGACATCTGGCTAGCTCACAGAACTCATAAATATTATAGATCACGACAGACAATTTGCCCCATGAAATTAGAATGTGTTTGTGATTTTAACTAAGCATCACTATCTCCCAATACAATGAAATTTGGGAAATTATGTAATCACTTAATCACAATAAAGAATTTGAAAAAAAAATAAAGACATCTGGCTTATCTCAGAAAAATATCTTTGAAAGACAATACCTATTAAGATTTTAAAATGACAACATTGAGCTGGGTACTAGTAGCTCATACCTGTAATCCTAGCGACCAGGAGGCTGAGATCTAACGACATTTGACGCCACCTTGGGCAGGAAAGTCCATGAGACTCTTATCTCAATCAACCAGCAAAAAAGTTGGAAGTGGAGCTATGGCTCAAGTGGTAGAGTGCCAACCTTGAGCAAAAATTTCAAGAATAACGGCCAGGCCCTGAATTCAAGCCCCAGGATGGAAAAAAAGAAAAAGAAAAAAAAATAGTATCTTGGCATCTATAAATGAATACTATCTGTTGGAGAGTAAGCATCATTCTGAACTTTCTAGAAGAAGTTTGTGTGTGTGTGTGTGTTTTAATAAGGGCTATTTTTCATTACCTTAAAATTGTATGAGAAAGTAGAAAACAGCGGAATGGCAAAAAATGTTGAATTTAGGGACTGAAGCATGGTATGCTGAAATCTTCACCTTTCCTAAGAATTCCAGAAAATGGACCATGACCTTTCTCTGCTTATGTAGTGCTGAGGAATCGAACCCAGGGCCTCATGAATGCGAGGCAAGCACTTTACCAGTCAGACACCTTCCCAGCCCCCATGACCCCTTTCTCTACCTCATAGCTTTACAAGACAAAGGCCTAGGACCTACTGGTTATGAATTATGCTTTTTAGCTGTGCATATTAAGTGCCTGTATATTTATTATTAAATAATTCTAAGGTCTAAAATCAGTACACTATTATCATACTGCTTTCTTTCCAATCAACTTGGGTCTTTATTCCTTTTTGTACCTGCAGGGTGTTATAATCTCTTGTGAAGGGGACCATCAGCTCCCAAACGATGAGAAAACCACTAATGCTGTGAATTCAAGCTTGTAGTTTGTGGCCATGTGCTCAAATAGCATTGTCAACCCATGGGCTGCAAGGTGCTTCCGCTGGTATTCCTCAGACCCCTCCACTGACACAGGCCGAGTCATGGAGAGGGACACGTCCATCACCACCACTGTTGGCATGGTGAACAGAATCCAAGCGAGCCCAGTCAGTGCAGACAACAAGCTACAAATAGTGCAATGCTGTGGGGGAAAAAAAGTCAGAAGTGTCACAGAAGGAAAGCAGTATCTTTTCACAATAATTGTAACCAATTTTCCAGAAATAAGGCAAGGTGACCCCTATATAGGTCAATCTGCAGAGAATTCTGGGAGAAAGAAGACAGCAGCCTAATTCACTGGGAAGACCACTCCCAGACACGCTCAAAACACACTATCTACACCTGTGAATCAAGGGCTACCTTATTACCAGTGGGAAAAAGCATTAAAAGTAGGCCTTACTTCCAACTTTCAATTTTTATATAAAGTATGTATTTATTTATATAAATATACATATATACTTACATATATACATTTATGTATATATACATATATAGAGGGGGGAAGAGAGAGATACACACACACACACACACACACACACACACACACACACACACACACACTCGTGGTTCACAACTGTAATCCTAGCTACTCAGGAGGCTGAGATCTGGGGATCGTGGTTTGAAGCCATCTCAGACAGGAAAGTCTGTGAGACTTTGATCTCCAATTGACTACCAAAAAGCCAGAAGTGGAGCTGTGGCTCCAGTGGTAGAGTACAGTACTAGCTTTGAGTGGGAGGCGGGGGTAGGGAGGGAGCTAAGGGTCAGCACCAGGCCCGGAGTTTAAGTCTCAATACTGGGGTGCATTAACGCACGCACGCACACGCACGCGGGCGCGCGCGCGCACACACACACACACACACACACACACACACACACACACATTATAGGTTAATGCTGGTGGCCTGTAATACTAGATACTCAGGAAGCTAAGGTCAGAGGCTTTCATTTTGGAGCCAGTCTGCTCATCAGTCATGAGCTAGCAAGTTGAGGGAAAGCATGAAGCCCTGAATACAAACTCCAATAGCAGCCCCAAAGTAAAATTAACTAAATATGTAAATAAAATGTAATTTGGCTCCCGTGAACTACTATGTTCTAAGTTTCCAACAGCTCCCTTATAATTTGAATTTTAGAGTATCACACATCCGTGCTTGGGCATTGTACCAGCAAGCAGTCTGGCTATTGTTAAACATTTTGAATTCCAAAAAACAAACTTAGTGAACATTAACCTTGTGTAATGTTTTTACATCTACCTAAAGTCTTCCACAATTGTATATGACACAAGCAATGTGACTATGATGTTGTACGAAGTATACACATATAGTCCTGTAACCCACTTTCCTTAGTTATGTATTTTTTTTTAGCTGGGTCATTTATTTGTAACTACATGCTATTTCATTGTGTCAACAGACTACAGTTTCTCTCTCCTTTCCTTCCCTTTCCCCTTCTTTCCTTTCCATTGTAGAGCTTGAACTCAGGGCCTGGCGCTGTCCCTGAGCTTTTTCACTCAAGCCTAGAGTTCTACCACTTTGAACCACAGCCACTCTTTTGGTTTTCTGGTAGTTCATTGGAGATGAGTCTCACAGACTTTCCTGCCTGGGCTAGCTTTGAACCTTGATCATGAGATCTCAGCCTCCTGAGTAGTTAGGATTACAAGTGTGAGCCACCGGCACCAGGCTCCTGGGCTGGCTTTTAACTCTTCAGATCTCAGCCTCCTAAGTAGCTAGGATTATAGGCTTGAGCTACTGGTGCCCGGCACACTATAGTTTCTTAACAGAGGATCAACAAGTTGTATCCACATTAGTGGGTCTCTGTATTTGTTATTTCTTTATTTTTGTGCATAGAATTTTTTTAAATTTTATGAGTGTGCCAGTATTAAGATGGGAATCTCTAGGATTCCATCTGGGTTGGATTTGAGATGTGATCCTCTAGGTCTCAGCCTGCTAAGTAACTAGAATTAAACCTGATTGAAAATAATGTTTTAAACAGGGGGTTAGGAACACAGGTTAAATAGCAAAAGTGTTTTTTTTTTTTTAAACCTCATAATAGACATAGATATATTTCAAATAGTTCAGCTTTCCACATCAATAGACTAACCAGAAAAAAATTCACTCCTGAGAAGTCCCAAATGCTTAACAATTTTGATAGACAAATTTAAATTTGTCTCCCTCATCTCTGCCTATTAAAGTTGTTTGTTCAACATAACCCTGTTAAAACTGTCCGTAGCAGCACTGCTGCTTCGCTCTTCAGTCATGTTCTCTGTGTGTGTGACAGAACACGGTGTTGGATGGATGCTTGAAGAAAAGTGATTGAAGCGTCTCAGCAGCTCTACAGAACACCGTCCAGCTAAGGCCCGCATCAGCGGCTCACGCCGGTCATCAACAGGAGGCTGAGAGCTGAAGATGGTGGGTCGAAGCCAGCCCTGCCAGGAAGCCTAGTCCTTGAGACTTTCTTTAAATCTCCATTAACCTACCAAATAAACGGGATGTGCAAGTGTGGCTCCAGTGGTAGGGCGCTAGCCTTGAGCTCAGGGACGGGCTCAGGCCCTGAGTTCAAGGCCCCAGAACCAGCGCTAGAACCAAACAAAACCCCTCAGGGGGCGAGCCTCAAAGCGTGGGCCTCGCCTGAGTCTCCCAGCCGCCGCGGAGGCCGCAGCCACCTGTCAGCCTTCTCCCGGGCAGACGTCTGGCTGCAAATGTGCTTCCATACGGACGGCGACGGGAGGTGCCCCCCCACAACCGACAACCAACCTCTAAAATCAGTGAAAAGACCTGGAAGTCCCTCCTGAGGAAAGCGGGGAGAGAGGGGCCCAAAACGGGGCGAAATGGGGCTGTTCACACAGCGCTCGGCAGTCCCGGGTCGCGGAGCGCAGGGACCCCGGGAATGGCGCCCCAGAGCCGGCGCGGGGAGGCCGCAATGGCCGGGCGCTGGGCCTGCGCGGCTCTTCTCACCTCACCCTCCGCCTGTGTCCCCACAACCGACTGAACGCGACCCTCAGGCCGCCGCCGCCGCCGCCTCCTCCACTCACCCCAAGCCCATCGCCGGCCACAGTCCGTCCGCTTCAACTTTCCGCCCGGGCGCCACAACCGGAACTATAAGGGCCGCGGGACCCCAGGGAGCCTGGCGCCGTCGGCGTCCCGAGAGGAGCAGACGCGGCTTCGGGGGCGGGAGGGGCGGGAGGGGCGGGAGGGGCGGGAGGGGCGGGGCTTCAGGCTGGGCGGGGAGGGGCGGGGCTGTGGCTCGGCTGGGCCACTAGGGAGCGCGTCCTCCCCAGCTCCTCTCCGCGGGCCGGGTAGGGGCGGGGCTAGGGGCGGGGCTAGGGGCGGGGTGTTGAGGCCCCGCCCTCTCCTCGCACAGCCCTGGAACACAAAGCCCTCTGGAAGGCCTTAGACACCAGTTTATTTCATCTAGTGACACAGGACACAGGGCACCAGAAAATTGGAAGGGGAGCTGTGACTCAAAGTAGAAGAGCATTAGCCTTGGGAAAAAAGAGCTCAGAGACAGTGCCCACATGAGTTAAAGCTCCACCACCAAACAGAGGGACAGACAGACAGAGAAATCCCGCATAACTCCATTCAGAAAATGTATCTGGATATCTAAGAGGGTTTTCCTATTCTTTCACAATTCACTACATAGTACCACATCATCCTGATCCGCATTTGGCTAGCTGGAATCTATTTGGTGTTTTATTAATCATTCCACATGCTCCCATAGAACATGAACAGCCACTCACCAATGTGTTATTCTACAGTTAAGCCCATAATATCTCCATACCATCTCCATGGTCAGCTGCATCATCTTTTCAAGTATAGCTGTATATGGTTTCAATAATGCACACATGGACCACCCACAACTAAACCATTTGCATAAATATCAAATGCTTTCATTCATGAAGAAAAAAATCTGCTTTGCTTTAACAAATATATTCAAAATGGTCCTTATCTCCAGAGCATTTTTGAAGAAAAAAAAAGGCAGAATGGAACCATGAAACTTGGAATATACGACTAGGAATTATCTCATTTAACTAAAAAGAAATAAGCCCTACCTTTAAACATATGGAAAACTCATTAAGCCATTGAGAAATGTGTGTAAACTGCATAGGTTCTTTGGCATGTCGGCACTGGGTCTTTAACTCAGTGCCTTAGCATTATTGCTGAGCTTTTCTGCTCAAGGCTAGTATCTACCCATTGAGCCAAACATCACTGGTCCATGAGACACATGGGATTAACATTCTAGGGTGTTTCACAAAAGAGAGATACACAAAGTCTCAACAGAGGCTCATCTTAGTGACTCATTTTAGTGTTCAGGTTGAAGTAAGTAGAGATAGAAAAATACTACATGTCCTGATCCCCAGAGAGAAAAGACTCAGCCTTAGCATAGCAGCTGTTGTCTGCAGGCTTCTTTGCTGTTTTCTTATGCAGGTAGTGGGTCATGAATTTCCTGCTCTCACTTCACTTGTTCCTGCTCTTGGCTGGTGCTCTGCCACTTGAGCCTGACCCCAGTTCTTTCTTTTTGAGGGTTAATTAGAGATTATAACTTTCTAGTATGGAGAGCAATGAATCATTCAAACCCAGCATTGTGCCTATTTGACAAAATTGATGGCCAGGAGTTGATGTGTGAAGGTAAACTTCATTTTTTTCTTTTTCTTTTCTTTTCTTTTATTTGAGAACATACTGTACAGAGGGGTTACAATTACATGGGCAGGATAATGCATACATTTCTTACCAAGCATTGCAGCCTCCTCCTTTGTTTACCCTTCACTTCCCTTCCCAGCCTCTCCCCTCCCCCCCACCCAATCCTTCCCACCCTCCCCTGCCCCACACCGACATTGTAAAGCTCGTTCATTTTTTTCTATTTCATATCTGGACCTAATGTATAAGTCTGGCCTTTTTGCTTAAACTGATATATAATTTTCCCATTTCTATACATCTCTTTTCCCTTGGATTAAAGCTACCATTGCACACATTTCAGGTTTAGATGTCATTATCCTTTGTACCAGTAGTGGAGTTTGAACTCAGGGCCTTGAGCTTTTGCTTATTTCCTTGTTCAGTGCTTAAACATACAACTTGAGCCATGCTACAAGTTCCTGACTTTTGCTGACTCAGTGAATAAGTGTCTTTCATATTTGTCTATGGGGGCTGATTTGAACCTCCTTCCTGAGGAAGGACAGGGCAGTCTGGAAGATAGAATAATTGCGATGAGCCAGGACACCTGTCATGTCCTCTGAGTAAGTCCCTCTGAGTAAGTGCTCTTTCTTCTATTGATGATGGCTTTTACTTTTCAGTATACCTAATGCCTATGTATTTTGTCAAATACTTTTCCCCCAAAGGAGCTATTCAATGTAATTTTCAGGTGAAATTTACTTACATATTTGCACAAAGCACAATGGGTGTGCATAAACACTTGAATTCACTGTTACAAGAAAGTCCCCTATAAATTACATTTAGTCTGACATTTGTCTCAATAGACAGAACAACTTTCAAGGACATCTGGTTTGCTATGTCCTAGAGCTTTAGTAGTGGCCTGATCACCTCATGCAGGCATGGGCTGGGTTCCTTGCCCCTCACAGTGCACTGAACTCTTCCCTCTATAGCCAGTAAGTGCTCTTGGACAGCTCCAGGTCACTCTGTCTTTTGCCCTTACTCAGGAACCATGTGTCTGGGACATCAGATTGTACACGTAAAAAAAGCCAGAGTATTCAACATCCATAAATTTTACAACATAAACATATATCTTTAATAAATTGAGAAGAATAAAAAGAATGCAAATTTTACAACAATCAGGACAAAAAGAAAAAGAGAGATATCCCCAGGGAGAGGGGAGGGAAGCTCTAAGGCTAGGTCGGCTTCTAAGTTGCCTTCAAACATAAATTCTGCCTCAGAATCCTCCAAAGTATCTAGCTCCTCATGAAAGATAGGATTTGCTCCAGCAAAGGCTGGAGAGGCAGATTCTAATTTCTCAGTTGGAGATTGGTTCTGCTGCAGCAGGACCGATTTGTCCAGATGTTCAGTGAGGACAGATTCACTTTCCTGAGCTGCATCTAATGTTGGGACCTCACTCATTGGTTCCCCTGAGCACAGACTGGGGACATTTTCCATCAGTCCCACGTGTGCTACTCCCTGCAGCACGCCAGGAGGTGTGCTAATTTGACCCTTTTTGAGCTGATCTGGGCTGCCTGTGAAAGTCACAGGAAGACAATCGCTATTACCTTCTTCTTTCTTTGGGGTCCGTACAAGTTCAGCTCTGTTACATGTGGGGTTCAGAACCACTGTCTTATCCACAGGACTCACAACCTTTTGGGGCCTCACTGCAAATGCATTCAACCCCTCTACATGCACATGCATTGTGTAGTCCAGTGAGGGCTCCAGATCCCCATCCATCACCATCCTTGACATCACCGAGAGCTTCTTTCTTGGGAGGTCAGGAGAAGCTGATCTATGGTGGCCAAAACCTGAGAAACAGAAATAGGTAAAGGAGTTTGGGAGTGGATTCTGGATGTTAAGGTGGAGTTCAATTTCCATGAGGCTCTAATGGAGGAAGCTGTACAAGTTTACTTTGGACTGAACACTGATGAGAAGGTAAGGTCTTTCCCAAGAGTGGCTAAGCGCAAGTGCTTTCACCAATAGAACCAACACTGCCTGGCACATAGTACCATAAAAAGACATTCTTACAACCTGGGGGGTAATAAGGGCTCTCAGGCAATTAGGCTCATCCCTAGAGGCCCAGGCGCCATCCCTACTCACAAGCTCTGAGGTGACCACACAGGGACTTCTTCCTCTGTTTCTTGGTCTCATTCTTCCTGCTCTCCTCCAGCTCATCCAGATGAACGTGGAGATTGAGGACCAGATCTGAGGAGGGCATGTGGAGCATGGCATAGTGGGTAAGTTCTTTCACCGGGTGTCGGTTCTGGGGCTCTCGGAAATCAGCAGGATAGCAGTCCATCCACATGGTGAAGATGGAACAAAGGGTGCTGTGGGCAGATTGGTGACAAGAAGAGTGAGTATCTGCCCTCCCTATCCTGGGCCTCCTATAGCCCCTTTCTGCAAGGCTGCTATATGCACACTTGCATGCTGGGAAGCAGGAGGAGACTCCTGCAGGCAGAATGATCTTCACCACCCACGTCTAGAAGCTTCTGAAAGGTAATTCTCCAATATTCTCACTGTGATAGGTCACAAGAAGGAACTGATTTTGAACACACAGCCCTCCCTGTCATCCCTGAGAGTCCACAACCACACCACAGCTGTGTCCTCTGCCACCACTCCAACCCGAACCCTCTGCCCCTAGTGGAAAGCACAATGATGTGCAAATGAGAAATCTGCCCTTTGAATCAGAAGCCTCAAAGATACCATTTTGAATGAAGGGGCCTTTTCTTTGTGCCACAGTCCACTTACTTCTTTATTTGTTCATCTTCCTCAGAGTTATGGCCCGGGAATCTGTACCTATGGGAGGACAGGAGGAAGTCACCTCTCAGCTTCTCCTTTTCTGCCCACACAGGACACATATGGGATGGGCTCACTCCCAGATGGGAATGGAATCTGACACATAAATAAGTAAGATACAGTTCAGTGAAAATTCTGCTAAGAGACTTATATGCATTGGTCCAAGGTAAATGTGACAGTGCTCATGCCTCTAATCCTAGCTAATCAGGAGCATGAGATCTCAGGTGCACAGTCTGATCAGACATTAGTCAGTAAAAGTCTAAGGACATTAATTTTTAAAAGGCCAGAATTGCACCTATGGTTCAAATGCTGTAGTGGTAGCTCTGAGCACCAAAGAAACAGCACCAAGATGCTGAGTTTAGGTTGAAGGACTGACACACACACAAAAACATAAAAGCTTCAGGGGTTATAAATATGTAAAGCCAACATAATGCCTCCCTGAAATCTCTGAGTTGATTCAGCCTCCAGTTCACCCACCTCCCCACACCCCAGCCTTTCCTGGGTCTACATTATTCACAGACATCCAATTTGTAATGAAACCTTATTTACTCATGGGAAATGTGATTTCCTAGAACCTCACCTAGGGGAGGGCAGAAGTCGTGTGCCATGGGCACATGCCTGTAATCCTAGCCCCTCAGTAAGCAAGCTTCTGAGGTTCCAGGAGCTTTTCTGGGAAATGTCCTGGGCAGACCACTACTAAGAAACTACGCAGGGTATGCACTTTCTTGTCTCATGCCAAGCTCCTGTGAGAAGACCCCCATGAAATCAACAGGTTCAGAGGGGTGCCAAGTATTCCACAACTCAGCCAGGAATAGCTGAATGGTCCCGGTTTTGAAGGGGGAACACTCACTTTTTGAACACAATATCCAGCACTTGCTCCATTGTTGCCCACTGTCTATAATTGTGGAGGAAGTTTCCAACATAGAAGAGATCGCCTTTCTGGTAGGCTGGGACCAGGTTCATCACCAACATGTCCAGCAGGCTTGCCTCCGGGCTCCATATATCGCATGGCACATTCAGGGTCAGGGCTGACGTATTAGCACACTAAGGCGAGACAAAGAATCAGAAAAAAACCATGGAAATGAGAACACTTCCAAATGAGTAGTTGTGATAGAGTAGATTGAAAACTATGCAGACAGTATTATCTCAGTAAACCTAAATCACATAAGAAGGTTCTACTGTGGACCAGGTTGGGGTTAAGTAGGTTTTCTATCATGAGTATACCTTGCCTGAGATGCCTTGTGATTTCCTAGGTTTCTTTTTGGACAAATCTCTGAGATGGTTGCTTCGTGGCTTGCCACTGATCCAGTGTCTACAGCTTTGACTGAGGCACCCATCCTTCTCTTGGCTGAGACCAGAGTCTCGAGACCTGCGAATACAGCACAAGAACATGTTTCTGGCTCCGGAGTCACAGGCCAAGTGAGCTGGCTTGAGCCAACTGTGAGTTACCGTGGCCTGCTATCAGGGTTCCATGTTCTATTCCATTGTGAAGGAGGCAGGGTCACCTCTCAGGGCCCAATGACCTCTGCCGCTTCCTCACACAAGAAATATTCCCATCCACCCAATATTGCAATGTGTACATGTAGACAAGTTAACAGCACACCTTGTTTGTCCAATCCTCATCTGCTAGCCCTAGATTCTGGCTTGTTCTCAGCTTCCAGGAGTCCTCCTAGGTCACATTCATGCCCTATCTGTCACTCTTCCTCTCATCTGGCTCAACTCATTTGATTTCTCAGGGCCTTCGGTGACTACCACATCTTTCTGGCACATATTTTTGACATCTACATCCTAGGTCATTGTTGACTTTCTGTAGCCTAATCTGTTTGTCCTTGGAACCCCTCTGTGGTGTCTTCTCCAAAAAATGCAAATACTTAGAGATGGGAAAATCAAAGATGTATTGGAAAACATTCATTACACATATAATCAGCCATTTTTACAGGTGTTCATTTTTGTAACTGAGAAAATTATTTTTTATACTTGCAATATTTCATGGAGGCAAGCAGAGAAAGGAAGAGCTGCTGCATTGTCTTCTTATGATGACTAGGACTTGTTTTACTATAGCTTCGAAGGAATATAACATTTAAGGTAGAAACTGCTCCTTTCATTTTTACAAGCTAATCGTTTATATAGTTATTTGCATCTGAATTCTTTGCTTCTGTGTCCCATTATCTTTCTTCCTCCCTCAACAAAAACGGGAAGAAGGAATTTCACACATTGCTGACGTGTTGTCCAATCTCTGCATAGGAATTTAAGATACAATAGTTACACTGCTTTTGTGTGTGTGTGTGTGTGTGTGTGCGTGTGCATTTGTGAGCTTGGACCCTTTGCCCTATCCCTGAGCATTTTTCCTCGAAGCTAGTGTTCTACCACCTGAGACACAGCTCTATTTTGAACTTTTTGTAGTCAGTTGGGGATGAGAGATTCGTGGAACTTTCCGACCCAGCATGGACATTGCTCTTCTTCAGCCTCATCTTTCCTTGACTGTGGCAATGGCGGTTCAGTTTCTGGATTTCCCATCCAAGCACAGGCACAAGCCATCCTCCACTGCACGTCTCTTTGTGCCCCTGGGTACAAAGGTAGAACCTCTGAAACTCAGAACCAAATTTTCTGATTAATTAGGATCACGGGCCTGAGCTACATATGAACAGCTCATTACCTGCCCTGGCACATTTTTTGGGGGTTGGGGGATTGTTCGTGGGGCTTGAACTCTGGGCCTGGGCCCTGTCCCTCAGCTTTTCAGCTCAAAACTAGGGCTCTACCACCTTGAGGCACAGTACCACTTCCGGTTTTCTGGGCACTTATTCGGAGATCAGAGTCTTATGGATGTTCCTGCCCCGGCTGACTTTCAGGTGCAGTCCTCAGATCTCAGCCTCTAGAGTAGCTAGGATTATAGGCGTGGGCCACCAGCACCCAGCACATGACCCCTTTTGGCAACAGCATTTTGCGAATTTAACTATATTGACTTGAGACAAATATATCAATAATTTCCCCAATAATGTGTTTATATTCATTTTTCTTTGTTTTTTGTTTTTTGGATTTTTAAAATTCCGGTTGTGGGGCCTGAACTCTGGGCCTGGGTGCTGTCCTTCAGCACTTCACCTCAAGGCGACTGCTCTACCACTTGAGCTACAGCGTCACTTCCGGTTTTCTGGTAGTTTATTGGAGATAGGAGTCTCAAGGTCTCTCCTGCCCGGGCTGGCTTTGAACCGCGATCCTCAGATCTCAGCCTCCTGAGTAGCTAGGATTACAGGCTTGAGCCACCAGCGCCCGGCAACTATCAAATTCTTATCTCTAGCTGCAACTCAAAGTGCTAGTGTGCTAGCCTTGAGTGAAAGAACTCAGGGACAGTGGCCAGCTTTTAAGTTCAAGCAACACCATTCGGCACACATGCCCCCTACACACACACTCTTCACTCGGTCCCTTCCTAAACCCTCTGTCCTCTTCACCGAACTGGTCATTGGCAGAGTTTCTGGATTTCCCACTCCAGCATGCCAACCAACCATGTTCCCTCAGCACATGCACCTCTGCCACACTGCAGGGCCCAGGCCTCCTCTCAGAATCCATTGCCATGGGATAGAGAGCAGATGAAATTCAAGGACTCATAGAACTTGTGCTTCTAGGGCTGGGAAGGTGGCTCAGTGGTAGAGTGCTTGCCTTGCAAGCCAGAGGCCCTGGGTTCGATTCCTCAGCACCACATAAGCAAAAAGAAAAAAGCCGGAAGTGGCGCTGTGGCTTGAGTGGTAGAGTGCTAGCCTTGAGCTGAAGAGCTGAGGGACAGCACCCAGGCCCAGAGTTCAAGCCCCACGACCGGACCCAAAAAAAAAAAAAAAAAAAAAAAAAAGAACTGGTGCTTCTAGACAGGGAGACTCAGAACTGTTCCTAACCTGGTATACAGAGACACATTGATCTATTTGTGTAGAACAATGACAACATGGTCAAAATAAAATTTTTGGCTACCCCAAAAGACACCCTTTTCCAAATACTGTTAAATATTCCCTCAGATTTTCTTAAATGTTACATAAAAGTACATGTATTTACATGTTAGAGGTTGTAGCTTTTGATATAATGAACGGGAAAAGGCAGCCAAAATGACTTCTTGCAGGAAAAAATGCCTAGTCCAGGTAAGCTAATATATGCAGCAAGCACATTTCCAGCCCATTGTCCAAAAGCAGGCATGGGTCTTTTATTGTGTCATCTTGATCGCTTACCGTCCATGAAAACCCTCATGCAGACTTAGCAAATCTTCATGCAAACCCCAAAGCAAGGAACATTTTAAGAGCATAAAATTGCAGCACATAATTAACTCTTGCTTTAAAAATTTATATGTTCTCTATTTGCACAGTGCAGAATGGCTCATTGTTGGCGGAGATCTTCAAACATCAACACATTTACCCGACTAGCTGGAAAGGGGAAGTTATCCCTAGTAAGAGGTGGGGGCTTGAGATTCAAGTGGGACCAGCTTTCAAAGACACCTGTTCTGATATAACACAGAGCTTTTGTGTCTCAGCATCAAGGGTCCTATCTCGGCACAGGCTGCATCCTCCACTGCCTGCATTCCTTGTGGCTCCCTCTAGTCACCAGTTCCTTGTAAATCCAGCAGATTTGTTCCCCAGGTCCAGCACACTCTGCTTCCTCCCACTCAGGCCCCATGTGCCCAGGATATCAGATTGGAGGTAGAAGAGACCACAGTATTTTGTATTCAAGAATTGTACAACATCATGTAAACATGGACATTTTAATACCATTAAAACAATAAATAGTAAATCGTGACAAAAAGTAAAATAGCCATTTACCTAGGGTGGAGGTAGGCAAGATCTAACACTAGATCTTCTTTGAAGTTGCCTGCTGGCAGGAAGGCTAATTCAGGGTCCACAATGGAATCTACTACCACATGTAAGACAAGATATTCTTCCTGAGTTCTCAACTGGACACTGGTTCCATAGGGTGTCTGTAGAAATCAAAACCTATTGTAGCCCTTCTACAAATGAAAATAAGCATGTTCCATCCACACTCTTGGTGCAGTGCAATGATGACTCCAGATGTCCACCTGTCATCACCACGGCCAGCACTGGGGCTTCTTTAGTATGGGTTCAGAAGTCACAGCATTACGCTGACAAAAATCTGGGAATGGAAATAGGTACATGAGGATTAGAGTGAACTGCAGAAGTTCTGGTGTGACTCAACTGCCATGAGGATGGAATGGAGGAAGTTGTAGCATTTGAGTTGAGACTGAACTTTGATGAGAAGGCAGGGTCTTTCTCACCAGTGGCTATGGCTGAGTGCTTTCATACAGAGAGCAGACATTCCCTGGCAGAGAACATCTATCAAAAGATACTTTGCCAAGCTGGGGAGTACAAAGAGCTCACCGCCAATCACCACTGGAGAAGCCCATCGCTAGGGCGCCTGTTTCCTTCCCTATCCCAGGCTCTCAGGTGCCTACACAAGAACTTCTCCCACCTTTCCTTGTTCAGATTAGTAACCGTCTCCTGCAACTGCTCTAGACGAACTTGTAAGTGGACGAGATGGTCAGAGGTGGGCATGTTGTCCATTAGATAGTGCATAAGTTCATTCAGAGTGTCTCTGTTCGAGTTTTCATAAAAGTCATCAGGGGCAAATTCCATCCACATGGGGAAGACAGAACAAAGGATGCTGTGGGCAGATTGGAGAGAAGGAGAGTCAGAGGCCACCTTCCCCATCCTGAGCCTCCCATAGCTCCTTTATGAAGGACTCCCATGCTGTAGCTGTCCATTCTATACCCAGACTTGCATGTTGGGAAGGGGGAGTGGACTCCTGCAAGCAGGATGCCCCTCACCACCTACTTCTAGAAATTCTGAAGGAAATCCTGCAAAATTTTCACTGTGATAGGGAATGAGAAGGTGGTTTCTCCACTGGATCTGACTTTGTACACACAGCCCTCCCTGTCATCCCTGAGAGTCCACAACCACAGCACAGCTGTGTCCTCTGCCATCCACTCACATCCCAAGCCTCAGCCCCCTGCTGCAAACCACAAGTGGTGTGCAAAGGAGAACTTTCCACTTTGAGTCAGAAGCTCAAGAATTCCCAGTTTCAAGGACAGCCCTTCCCTTGCTCCCAAAATCCACTTACTTCTTCACTTGATCATCTTCCTCACAGTTAGGACAGAGGGCTCTGTACCTGAGGGAAGAGAGGAGGAAGTCAGCTCTATGATTCTCTTGTTCAGAACTAAGGAGAGGCCAAAGGTGCTGGCTAATGCCCAGATGGGAATATAAAAGTAGAAGGCAAATGAGACATGTGTAGACTGTCCCATGAAAACATTAAGAGTCTTGAATGAGTGAACTGAACGTAAATGCTTCTGCCAGGTACCAGTTGCTCACACCCCTAATCCTAGCCACATGGGAGGCTGAGATCTGAGTAGCTCAGTTCAAACCAGACTGGGCAGGACATAGCCATGAAATTGTTACATCCATTAACAATTAATATCGCAGAAATGGAGCTGTTGTGTAAGTGATAGCTAAATTTGAGCACAAAACTCAGGGACAAAACCCACATCCTGAGTTCAAGTTGCAGGATCTGCACCCAAGGGAGCGCTTCAGAGGTTTGTAAATGAGCAAGCCCAATATAATGCTTTACTCATGGCTCAGTAGACACAAGGTACTCAGGCCACCCCTCTGATCCCTCTTCTGGGTTAGGTGCTACAAGGCCTCCAATACAGCTTCTGAAGCCTTATTTACCAATGATAAATGTGGTTTCCCAGGGCCTCAACTACGTGAGGTCTGAAGTTGGTGCCTCTGGATTATACCTGTAATCCTAGCCGCTCAGTAAGGAGGCTGCTGAGGCTTCTGGGTTGCACTCAACCTCTACAGACAACTCCTAGACACGATCTTCTTTAGCAAAATAGGAAAATTCTGGAAGTGCAATTAGAGTGTCAGCCTTCTCAGGAAAAGAGAAATGCGCCACAGGGAGTAGATGGATGGGGAAATAAAATGTCCACACTGGAGGCACAGAATCCTGGGTGTCCTAGTCCTAAGAAACTAGCCAGGGTGTGCCCCACTTTTCC